TGGTTGAGGAACTGCCAGATCACGTCCTCGTGCGACTTGGCTGTCATCGCCGTGGAGCGATTGGTGCTTGTCTTCGCGCGTGAAGATGTGATCTCCTCAAGAGCGGTGCACCGTGGAGAGCGGGATGTCAAAGGACCATTCGAGCGCCAGGAGCCGTGTGGGTGGGTTGAACTTCTGTGCGGCCTCGCGAAACTGGTTGCGGTGTTGGCTCTTGTCGCGCGTGATCTCACCGCACAGCACTCGCCGTACGTCTTCGTATCCTGGCGACAGCTTGCTCTTCGGCACGTTCGCCGCGCCCGGCACCCTGCTCAGCGCCATCGTTACTTCGTCCAGTCGCGGTACGTCAGATAGGGCTGTTCGAACTTGACTTTGAGGAAAACGACGACCCCAGGAGTTGGGCGAGAGCGTGCGGGCTTCCCGCGACTGGTAGGCGGGACGCTGAAATGCGTGCGGCCGACGAAGCCCTCGGATGCCTTTCCGTTCCACTTGCCCAAGCGCGCGATCTCCCCGGTGAAGACCTTCCCTTCAACCTGTACACATCCTTTTCGCTTCTTCGTGTTTTCTGAAGAAGCCTGTATACAGAGGACGAAAATCAGCTCTAAGCGAGCATTAGGCTGAACACGTGTGGTAAGGAGTATGTTAGTGTACATATTTCGACGGAGCACGCTGCGACATGGGCTCCGCCGAGCGTTCACTGCCGCTGAGCGTGTCGCTTTCAGTGCCAGCGCTGGGCGGTGCGAAGCTAGCACAGTTCGTCTTAGGGGACAGCGGTCGCGTTGGGTTCGATGACGAGAGGGATACTTGAGCGGATGAGGGGAGCCCGGCGCAGGAGGTGCTTGGGCCACCAGTTGCGGGGGAGTGAGCTTGCCATAGTTCAGTTCTGCACAGCGGTCAGTCATGTCGACAAGGAGAGCGCACGCGGCACATGCACGCACCAGCTTCGGCTCGAATAGTGGGGGATCTGCTCTACGACGGAGCGCATCGTCTCGTTGTGCATCATCTCTGTTGCGGTCTGGAATATGACGGTGCTCCATCCCTCGACGTAGGCGTTGGCCTCTGTGGTGACCTCGAGGATCTCGGCTTCGAACTCCTTCTCGGCAGCAAGCAGGCTGTTCCAGAGGTCGTTGCCAATGGATCCTTTCTGTGGGAGATTCTGCCAGAGTGCCGCACAGCAGGGAACCGGATGTTTTCGATCCTCGAAAAGGCAGAAGAAAGGGGACGCAACAGTTCTCCTTCCTCGCCACTATTGGACAAGTTACACCCGGTTTCAGCTCGCTTGTCGTGAGAGCGCCGCGCCGCGTCTTGCGCATTTGCCTGTTTTCCCCTCCTAAGCGCCCCCAAAGGAACTTCGGACGACGATATCTCCTCGACAGCTCAATGTAATTACTTCATTCTTGCGTATTCTGGCTCAGGATTACGACGCGCAGGGCACGGTACTGGTTTTCAAGTTAGCAACTCGTCCAACGGACGATCCACCTGCTTTCAGTCGATTTCACGCCGTCTTCTGCATCCATCACACATATTTCCTTGAACATCACATGGAGATACCTGGAGGGCTCACTGGAAGCCGTTGGCGTATGTTACGGAGGGCATATGGTGCAGAAGAGGTCCATGAAGTACGTTTTCTCCATTCTGCGAAGGGTTCTGGCGCATGCCTAGTATACCACTCTGTCGTATATCGTCAAATCCAACACATCTTTGCTACAAAACATGTCACATATGTCCACTGTAAGCCTACAAACCCATGTAATTGTGCTGCTTGCCAATGGTAGTGTTCTACAAGCTCTCCTTTGCAGCTCCAATCTACCCACCTCGTCTGTTCCTCCCTCCTATTTAACAGTGACTACATGGCCCCTAATGCCTTGCAAGACCACAGAGATTATGAAGGTGCAGGTTACTCACAAAGTCATGGTGTCTGGTGCTCCCCGACGAGGACTTTGAGCTGGCCCAAGAGGGCTGCCACCCGAGCCCACCCTATGGTGGACGTGATTGTCGCTGGACACTCCGCCTTATGACACAGAGCCCTTGGTAGCGTCTTGTCTTCACCATTCCGACAATTTCCGGGAGAGTACGCCATACTATTCAGCCAACAGCGCTGTTTGAGTCCAGTAGGGAGCTGGGAGAGCGGGAATGCCCAGAAGTTGGTGACGTCGAGTTGGCGCAACTTCAATACAATACCGTGCCCTGCGCGTCGTAATCCTGAGCCAGAATACGCAAGAATGAAGTGGTTACATTGAGCTGTCGAGGAGATATCGTCGTCCGAAGTTCCTTTGGGGGCGCTTAGAAGGGGAAAACAGGCAAATGCGTGAGATGCGGCGCGGCGCTCTCACGACAAGCGAGCTGAAACCGGCTGTAGTTTCCCACGAGTACGGGCATGGCAACTTTCCACCTAGATTGTGCAACACCAACCCCTTTTGGCCACCCGAGCAAAACGACTGCTTGCCTTCATGGTGAACAACACGACCACTTCTCGATGATCGGAAAGCATTTGCAACAGGCATTGTTTTCGCCACGCCCAAATTCGTGGGAAATTCTTCCGGTAGTAATCTCTGTAACGGCGCAAGAAGTTGCCCAATAATGGTGAGAAGGGGGAACTATTGCGTCCCCTTCTCACCGCCTTTTCGAGGATCGAAAACAACTGGTTCCCTGTCGTGCCGGCTTGTCTTCACGGAGTCGGATTATACGCGTGACATCGGTCATCGCGCGGCGGTCTCTCCGAGGATACACTTAGCACTACGCTACCAGGTGCTGTCTAGCGACAGGCAACTGAGTCTCAGGCTCTGAGCCACAAACACGCATACGCGTGTCACGTGCACGCATGCCACCGTGAGCGACTCCCGCGTTGTTGAGCGAACTCCGACTGTAACAACGCCCTCGCCTCATATCGATGCTCACCCGAGACTGCCGCGTCGTCGGTCGTCATCCTCGTTGCACCAGACGTCGCCGTGGTATGCACCTCAAAGATGCTCGCCTATCGTTTCAAGCAGGACGATGGCACGCACCGATTCGTACCCGTCTCCGGAAACGCAGAGCTATAGCGGATACGAGACGAGCTTGCAACATACGCTGGGGTACGAATGCGCTGCTGGAGATCCACTGCGTGGCTGATCCCTGGTGCAATTGCACACGCTGATGTTGTACAACATCGGTGCCATCCTCGACGTCCCATCACCAGAGTGGTTTGGCGACTTCCCGACTTCCCTCACCGTGCATGTCGCGTATTCCTCAAGACCACAGCACCTGTCTACCATGTTTGGCGGCGGCGAGCATGGTGACCGGATAGTCATCTGGCACGAAGGCGGCGTAGAACGTTTGGAGGAAGAGCGGAGAGCTCGGGAAACCCTGACTCTGAGTAGCTGTCTCTGATATCCTATAGATATCAGGAAAGACACGCAGAAGGAGCCATGGCTCATCAAGATGAACCCGAATGGCTTCATCCCCGTCCTGGTAGATGGCAACCGCGACAACTTCAGTTTTCGAGAGCAGCACTACGATCTCAAGCTCAAGTTCTCGTTCGACCCGCGGATGCGGCCGGACGAATACAACGAGATGCTGCAGTGGATCTTCACGGTACGTCCCCTGGTCACCTGTCCCTGCCCTCCAACCCGCTCACAATCGCCAATCTCCCCTCTTCGTCCTCGTAGCACGGTGGCATCGGACCGATGCAGGGCCAAGGTAGGCACAGGCTCCATGCATCAGCAACAAATGGCGCTATGCATCGTCCGCGTCCGACCACCGTCAGCCAATCACTTCCTCAGGGCCGCGCCCGAAGACATACCCTATGCCAAGAAGCGTGCGCCACCCTTCCGCGTCCCCGCGTGCCTGCCAATCAGACTCACTTCCAGAATGCACGCTGTCTGACGGAGACGAAGCGGCTGTATGGCGTGCTCGACGTCCGTCTCCGCGGGCGCGACTGGCTCGGCGGTGGCGGCGGGGCGTACAGCATCGCAGATATCAGCGCGCTTTCCTGGTAACGTGCGTTCCCTCCGCGTTGCGAATTTCACTCAGCATCGCGAGGGGCGTTCTTTTCTTTCGCGATGGCATCGGAGCTGACTCACTTTGCCCCAGGTCAACTCGCACGGCTTTACTGGGATCGAGAGCATTGACGAGTGGCCCCACGTCAAGGTCGGTTGCCTATCCTGGCATGGCTAGCGTCCCGGTATATGTGGGGCTGATGACTTCTACCAGGCATGGCTGGAGCGTACGGCTGAGCGTCCTGCGGTGAAGTCCGGGATGCAGGTGCCTAGGCAGGCTTCGCGTCCCGTCGACGAGTGATTGGCTTCGGGACGCCCCTAGAAGCACAAAGATAGATGGATTGAAGGCGGTGATCGAGCGAGGATGGCGCAGGCGCTGTGCAATGCGATAGGCCTACCGCTACGTCGCGCCTGTGGACAATGGCAGTCACAAATGGCGTGCGTCCGAGACTTATCAGGTGCGCTCGACGCTGGTCATTGGATGCGGTGATGGGCAACGTTCGTTTCAGCCAAGGCAAACAGTCGCCAGCAGAAAACCATACCAGAAATAGGGAGAACCCCTCCGTCATAGGCTGTATAGCATCCCCAGCGGGGTTGGGTATCTCGTGCTCCATTACGTTCCGTGGCACCTCATGCAGGACATGAACCTGTACACGCTCAAGCAGACGAAGGTCGACCGGAACGGCGAGCCCGTCGGCGTCACGCCGCGACTCATTGAGGTGCGTTCTGGGCTGCGATACCAGCGGAGTGGACTGCTCATATGTGGCGATGTCATTGCAGGAGTTTGAGAGGGCCGTCGAGAACTGCGTGGAAGAACTCCAAGAGCGCTTCAAGGATGGCCTAGAGGAGAGGTGCAAGATCGGCGCTACGAGCGTGAGTACAAATATCGTACGACGCGTGTTTCTGGGATATCGCCATCTGAATGTTACTATCCCTCAAGGGGTTTTGCAAAATCTGGGCGTTTTGCAAAACCCTGAGCCCTTCCTCCCTTCCTCATGCATCGCTCTGATATGTCAGACTCATGATGCTACACCCATTCTGATATCATCTGTCAACTTTTCTGAGCCAAATGGGCTGGAGGACGCCTTTGCGAGCAGGAGACATTTAGTTACACCTTTAAGCGAGTTGACGCCCAGCTTGATATACAGATCTTTCTTTGTCTCTTACTGAGAAAGTTCAAAAATCTTCCCGAACGAATGTATGGGCGCATTTTCAATACAGAAATTATCCCCGATAGCTCTGAGGATGGGTAGACATCCTAGGGAAGCCATTTCTTTCAGGCGCTTACAGGTTTTGCAAAACCCCTTTCATGCAGGTACTCGGAACATGGCATCCCCATAGCTCGCGTTCAGCTCCACAGAATTTTACGAAACTTGGAGGACATATGATCGATGTAAGTCTTAGCAATGCCTGAAATTTGTGGAATACATAGGTCACTATTGCTGGAGAGGCAGGTGCCATCATTCCTGGCGTTGCAAAACCCCTGGAGGGATAGTATGTCTAGGCTGCGGCCGTGGCGGTGGAGACGTCCGACACATTTGCTGCCAGTATGCATTGGGGCAACCTACAATGGTAGTACATTCTCAGTACCAAAGCTGCAGCTTTGGTGTCAAGGAATGCCCTCTACAGCACTCCGCCGGCATGGTTATTGGCGCTCCGATCGCAATGTCGAACTCTACATCCCCTTCACGCGTCAAATCGCGGGCTCTTGGTCTAACGTCTTCAAGACAGACCTCTTCGCATCCTTCGAGAACGCGACAACGGGGTTCATTGCGAAGCTCATCACGGAAGTCGAGGCCTCCGCCGCGCCTGGCCTCAAGGGCCGTGCTATGGGCCAAGGCGAGCTATGCATGGAAGAGGCCCACCTCGCTTTGCGCGAGACCCTTGACGTCGTGAACGAGACGATGACAACCGAACGGAAGGATGTCAGTCGTTGTCTGGCGCGGCATATCCGTGACCAGCTCGTCGACGAGTACGACCACGTGCTGAAGTTGTTGGTATCGTCTCGGAGATCCTGCAGTAGGTTGAGTTGTGGAAGCGCGCTGAGAATCTTCCTCAGGCCATCATGGCCTAGACGTCGACTAGATGGTAGCCCTTGCTTGTTGTACACCATCCTGCTCTTGCACGGCTACTCCGCTTCTTGTGCTGCACCCCCTGCGCTGACATATGCCTTCAGAGCGCGACGGCTACCCCAGCGACCCTGAGGACATCTTCCTGACTGCGGGCGCGTCCGCGGGGGTCTTGCTCATCCTCAACGTCCCCACCATGCACAACATCACCGGCGTGCTCATCCCCATCTCCCAATTCCTGCTCTACATGGCGACGCTCGCGCAGATCTCGGGCGTCCCCTTACCCTACCACCTTACGAAGTCCGACGACTGGTCGACGTCGCTCGACGAGATCCACGCGGCGCCGTGCAAAGCACGGAGGTACACAGCTCCCACGCCGTCCCCCGCGCCCTCGTCGTCATCAACCCGGACATCCCCACCGGCGCGATCGTCGACAAGCGCACGATGGAGGGCATCGTCCGTCTATGCGAAGAGCACCCCCTCGTCGTCCTCGCCGACGAGGTCTACTAGGCGAGCCCGCACCGCCCAGACACGCACCGCTTCCGACCCTTCGAGCAAGTCGTAGGCGACCTCCGCTCGCTCCTCGCCCTCTCCTCCTTCCACTCGATCTCCAAGGGCGTCCTCGGCAAGTGCGACCGGCGCGGCGGCTACTTCGAGTGCACGAACGTCCCAGCCGTCCTGTACAAGATGGCCTCCGTCTGGCTCTGCCCCTGCTCCCCGGCCAAGTCGGCGTCGACTGTCTTGTGCGCCCTCCGAAGCCTGGGCGCCCGAAGAAGGCGAGAATGAGGACTACGAGGGTAAGCAGCGACAAGTAGACGTACGTCACACACACCTATCCCGTCCCCTCTATGCCTCTAATAGCTGTGTGTACTGGATTCCAACCGCCTCCTGCGCGAAGAGCGCGCGCAGAACGAAAGACGCCTCACTAAGAACAACCATTCCGGCACCTGGCACGGTCAAAGCGTGGCGGGCACCATGTACCTCCTCGCGACTCTTCTCGAGCGCGCCGACCTGCTCTAGCTCACGATCCTCAGCCTCGCCCACCGGTACGCGGCCTCCCGCATCTCGCGCGACGGTTACGACAACTATCGGGCCATCTTCCACGACGAGGTCGCGCACCTCCACCCCGCGCCGCCCGCCGCGGTCGGGGACGACCTCAAGGCCGCGGGCTGCGGTAGCCACCCCATATACGCGTCGTACGAGTGCCATTTGCTGATGCTCCGCCACTGGACGCTGTACGACGCCATGTACTGCCCGAGCTACGTCGCGAGCAACTCCTCAGCGGGTACTAAGCAGGTCTGTACGTTAGTGCACAACGCGCTAGAGATGGACAGCTTGCGTAGATTCTCATGCCCGCACGGCCTAGTGGGAATAGCTGGTATCATACCAGCGCCTGCGCTGGTTTGGATCCCCGTCGCCCTTAAGTTTTATGGAACAGCGAATAGATTTGCCGCATGTATTTGCCCCTACAATTGTATGCGCCCCTTACTAAGTACTTTGCGCCCTGCGAGCAGTCTCAGTGAAGCAGATGCATCCGCTAGGTTGGGGCCACGTTGTGCGGATGCATCCGTTCAACGCGGATACATCCGCTGACTAGTGCGCGCTGGAGGTTGCGGGCGCGATAAAAGAGTGCATTCGCGAGAATCGAACGCACAATTCAGTGCTCCACGTCCCACACGCCAGGCTACGTACAAGGGCGTAGCGAGTGTGGATGACCCATAGCTTGTCTTAAGTGGTGATAACGCCGTCTCCTCGCGCACTTCTTCCATGTGGTCCAATCTTGGATACCATCCAACGGTCCAGTCCATAGACACCTGTGTACGGCAAGCTATTCCTCCTCGCGAGACCCTCAAACTTGAGGACGTTGGAGAGCGGAACGTCCGGGAAGTACGTTCGTACCAAGTCCTCGCCGTCGATTTCGCAGCGTTGTTACTCCGAAATTCACCTTGGTGCAAGGCTTCCAGAACTTGAGTAGACTTACCTCGCCGCGAAGCCTGGGGAGCGCCGAGTTCGACG